TCGATTCTTACCATGTACGATTTTTTGAGGAATATTAATAATTATTTGCCTGCAATACGTATACAAAAACATTTATTGTTGGTTTCCATAGTTTCATCTAAATAAACATATTGTCAAGTTTTAACACCTAATCTCTTGTTAACGATTGAAAGTGTTCTATCTGACTCAATAATTAAAAAAACAAATGCGTGGTTTATTAATATGGCTGTACAATATACCAATGCTGAATATACCGATATGTTACTGACATTAGGATTTTGTTAAGGAAATGCTCGAGAGAGTGTTAGAGTGTACTCTGAAAGGTTTCCAAATCGTCGTGTACCTAGCCACCCAACTTTTGCTGCTGTTGAGAGACGTCTTCGGGAGACCGGTTCCTTTGCTCCCAACACTGTTGATAATTGAATAGAACGTTTCGTAAGGATTCCTGAAGTTGAAGAAAACATTTTAGAACGCGTTGAAGAAGATCCAAAATTAAGCACCAGACGAATTGGAAGGGAACTAGGAGTAAGTAAAGATGTCGTTCATAAAGTGCTTAAAGAACAATTACTATATCCACACCATAAGAAGCCAGTACAAGAATTATTAGTCCATGATCCTCAAATTCGTTTGGGTTTTTGTCGATTTGTTAATATGCAAAGAGAAAGAGATCCAAACTTTGTCAAGAAGGTTCTCTTTACCGATAAAGCGGGTTTTACAAGAAGAGGTATAACTAATACCCATTATGAACATGTTTATGCCGTTGAAAATCCGCATGCAATAAAGGTAAAGCATTTTCAGCACGAATTCAAAATTAATGTGTGGGTTGGAATAATTGGTAATTTCATTGTTGGTCCTGTCATACTTCCACGAAGATTAACTGGAGAAAATTATTTGGATTTTCTATAAAATACGTTGCCAGAATTGTTAGAAGATTTACCTCTCCAACTTCGGAGAGATATGTGGTTTATGCAAGATGCAGCTCCACCTCATTTTTCTTTAACCGTTAGAAACCACTTGAATGAACAATATCCACACAAATGGATAGGCAGAGGTAATGACGCACCTGTAAACTGGCCACCACGTTCCCCAGACCTAACACCGATGGATTACTTTTTATGGGGACATCTGAAATCCACAGTTTACAGTGAACCAATAGAAAATGAGGAACAACTCTGGCAACGTATTCAAGATGCAATAAACAATCTTAGAGGTGATGAAGAAGTTATGGAAAGGATACATTTTAATTTTCTTTGACGTATAAATCTTTGTATGCGTGAAAATGGTGAACATTTTAAACAATTTTTGTAAAATCTCTATTTTGATTATGATGTAAATAAATATTTTTGTGAAACCTATACACTCTAAATTATTAAAACAGAAATTTAGCGAAAACCATGAGGGTAATCGAGTCTTATCAAGAGTACCGTTTTTAAAGTAAATGAGTTGCGCAATCTAAATTTTATACTCAAACTCCTTTTCTTTCATTGGCGTAGAATTTTAACAGGTGCAATTATTTAAAAAATCAAGTTCTACGCCTTTGTATTATTATCGGACAAAATTTTAATACCATTTTTTTTGCCACATAAAACTCTACCAATATACTAAATTTCAGTAAAATCGCATATGCCGTTTTAAATTTATATAGGAAAAACGATTTAAAAATTGTAACTTCAAGGCCCTCTGGAGCCCAAAGGAAGCAACTTTGAACTAAGGCAATTTTACTTAAACCGACTTAGTTTGGTCTAAGGAATATGTGGTATATTTTTGGAAAAACCTTTTACAGACACCCTGTATATTCCACTAATCTCTAGGTCAAAATGTTTATATTTATTTAGGGTGGTATCAACGTATGTCTGAAATATTTGATGATGATACTCTTTTGGCCTATCTTAAACAAGAAAATAAATCCTGTTTTAGTGAAAATTCCACACCTGTAATTGTTGAACTAATCAAAATACGTGTTTTTGACAGATCACCATGGCAACGGAGGTAATTTACAGGAAATTTTTTTCTCGTGGGGTACCCAACAGCGAATTATACTGGAAATTTTTTGACGTTTACAATAACAGACCATTTTTGACAGACTGGTTTTTATTTGTTCACATAATAGGTTTAGTTTTGATACATTTTAGTTACAATGCTAAGGTGTTTTCTATATTCTTCGGCCACTTCTTTTCTTCTTAATGGCGAAAATGCAGGACTTTGGATTCTTTGAATTATGTGTCTATGTCTAATAAAATATATATAATATTTAGACACTAATTTATTCACCTTTTTCCCATTCAGCACTTTGAATTTTGCGTAGTTTAGGTGCAAATATTCGTGGACAATTCGGAAAAAATTTTCGTTTTTCAAGTTGGAGCCACAATCCTCTATTAATCCGAGTAAATACGTCATGGTGCAATGATTGATCATTACATCAGACAATTTCACGCATATTTTGCATAGCGTATTATTTTCAAATCGATTCATTTTTAAACAAATAGGTAATTTTGTTGGTTTTACCTGCTGTGCAATAATCTTTATCGCAACAAAACGCGAGTTATTTAATGTTTTGAACTGTCAAAATACAATGATCACAGCCTCCTACGATTGATGCTTGCTGACGCTGGTTATGAATTTCATACCATTTTAAAGCGCTCATAACGCATGTTAATAAAAACGCAGAAAAACAATTTTCTACCACTTGTAGTTATTCAAAACTTACGTAAAATTAAAGAATATACTATTTTCTATTTTCAAATGGTATTCCCATGCAACCACAATGAGTAGAAATAAGCAATTTGAAGGCCTAAATAATTGCAGCGAAACATTTTTTACGTCGGGCCGCTTGAAAACTTCAAAACTGAAATTATATTCGAGGTTAATAAATTTTAAAAATATTTAATTTTCAACCATAATTCGGCGTGGAATTTTCTTACCGAATACCACGCGAGGTCAAATTAATATCAGGAAATTTTTTCTCGCTCATGAATATTTTTAGAAAATTTTCATGAGCTCGAAAAAATTTCCGGAAATAATTTGACCTCTAGTGGTATTACTAGTGAAAATTCTGCTCCAAAGATAATTACGTTAAACTGCACTTAACGAATAGCAAACTGTTCCAAGCTGTCGTCCAGGTGGATGCAAATATTTACCACAAAGCTATGAAATTAGTTAAACTAATGTCGGGTTTGATTTTGATTGCCCTGTGTACTGCGCCGTGCAACCACGTAGGTGTTTTAATTGTTGAGGTCTTCACCATTTATCAAATTAATGCAGTAAAAAGCCCCTTCATGTCCCAAATGCGCCTCCAATCACGATGTAAAAGATTATAACTCTGCTAGTTTGAAATGTGTAAATTGTGCTAATCTCAAATCAAACCATAACATAAATATTTCTGTTGATTATGTCGCTTGGGATAAAGAATCTCACTTCTATAAAAGAGCATAGTGCCATCTCAATAGCAACCAACTAATTCATCTAAAAATCATGTCTGTATTAATTCAACTTCTAAAGGACCACGACTTTTCTTATGCGAACGGGAGTACCGTCAAAATGTCTGAATTTTTGATATGTTAAATAACTTGATTTCCCTATCAAAAGTGTCCATGGGCCCAATCGTATCCTATGACTAGATTTTGAGATACAGGGTGTTAATGTTAGAAATCCCTAGTTCTTTAAAATGGACACCATAAATCACCCTTAAATATTTTTGGAAGTTTTTTGCTCATTCTGTGTAGTCAAAATATATACTTAACTACTATAATTAAAATATTGTACCTTACAGGGTGATTAATGATTCGGCAAATCTTTTTTGGTCAAAGTAGGTATTCCCACCGAACAAAAATAGCTAAAATACCGAAAAAAAAAAAAAAAATATCACCGTCAAAGTCACTCAATATTTGATATTGTATAGTACTCGATGTACTCGTTCAAAATTATTTTTAGTAAAATTAGATCCTATGACTAGTTTTCCAAATATAACTTAATATGTACCAAATATATGAATTTTAAACAATAAATATATACTGACAAAATAGATATTTTCAAGAGAAATATCTTATATTAAATATTTTGATATACTGTTTTAAATTAGGAATATACCCCTGGTACTATTTGCAAAGGGAAAAAAAATCGTACTTACAGGGTGATCGAGGTTGAATATCTAAGTTAAATCAACAAAATGTTGAAATTGTTGCCAAAAATAGAAAATAATTGTTGTTCATCAAAAAAATAGTATAAGTTCATACACAGGGTCATACTTTGTTTCGGTACAAAAAGTTTATTATATGGTAGGTCTCAGTAGGATGTGCAGAAATGATTTATGATCGGATTACAGGTTTATTTGGCTCGAGTATTGTCATAAGTGCCTCTTTGTATTGTACATTTAAATAAGATTATGAGCTCCATTCACGCCACCAATGAGGTAAAGCCTCCAATACATTTTGTTTTAAGTCGCATTCCTTAAAGGATGTAATGAAGTCAATTTTCATTACTATATTTCGGCCTATTCCGGATATAAATTTCAATTTTTATTTTTTATTTTATTTTAACTTCATGGGTAGACCCTGTATATAAAATTTTGTTTCATTTAAATTCGCGTATTTTACCTGAGTAACGAAAGCGCGCGCGCTTCGCGCACATCAAGTGGGGAGCTAGCCTGCTTGGGCATAGAGACTGGAATTCAGATTGGGTATTAAAAGGTTTGTTTTGGTTGCGAAATCATAACGGTTCTATAATTATTTTATAACTGCGCAGAACAACATGCGCAGAAACTAGAGTCTAAGAACTAGTTCGGAATCGATTATTTTTAATAGGAACCAAAACATCTTACATTTCTTCTGCATCTTTTTATTTTCCATCAATTTTAATCGCACTATGGTAAGAATTCAACCACTGGAAGTTAAAAACAAAGAAGAATTAAAGAAAGTTAAATTTCCGTCGTGTGAATCCTGTGATGCATAACCTATGTGTTCTATGTTTTAGGAGGTTGACATTTGACAAAGTAAAAATATTTTTTATTTTTATGACTTGTTAATGCTTGTTTACAGAGACAACAGATAATTAATTATTAAGTGATATACGAAGGATATACTGATCTGTGATACTGCTTTAAATATGGATAATGGTAAGATATTTAAGGTGAAAGGTGATCGACGTTCAGACGTTCACTGCAAAACTTTTTTAATTACCATTATAGATAATAACAGTAATTTTTGTAGGAACCTCACAATTGTCTCAATTCTTGTCATTTACACTAAGTAATGTGGAAGAAATAGAAGAAAAATTTTTCAACCACAACAGATCTCTTGATCTAATCAATCTTTACAAAAAATATAAATCGAAAATTGGAACATATGAGGTAAAAAATATGAAAAAATTATGGGATTTGGTAGCAAGAGACATATCAAATATGCATAAAGTGACAATTGCATCAAGCAAATGTGAAAATAGATTTAAGGTGCTGGATAGAAATTATAAAAAGTTTGTCGATAAAAATGCGAAAACAGGTAGAGGTCGTACAAACTTCGAATTTGAAAAAGAATTTGAAGAAATTTATGGTGGCAAATCAAATGTTCATCCCCAGGTTCTTTTGTCTAGCGAAACCGAAGTTGTTTTACATCTAGACGAAGAAAATACACATGAGGTTGAAAATGATCCACAAGCACCTTCAGAAACACTAGCGGACGGTTCTAGAAATGCAGAAAATAGGCCAATTCTAACTGCAAAACGTAGGCGCACAAAAGTAGTAACCTCCACATATAAAAAACGAAACGAAATATTGACAGATATGAAGAACGATTTAAAAACTTATTATAGTGAGAAAATACATATTGATAGAGAAAAATTGGAATTGGACAAAGAAAAACATAAGGAGAAAGTAAAAAGAACTGAGCTTCTTAAGGAACACCTCGAACAATTAAAAATATTCAACATGAATAGACAATAAGATTTTATTCATTTCAAGTATTAAATATTTATTTTGTTTGAAGAAGAGTTTTTTATTTTTTTATTTACTTGTAAACTAGATGTTAGATTAATATTGTTTTATTTGGTTTGAATCCAAAGAAATAGGTTTATTTTATTTGTGAACTAAGTTCCTAGTTAATATATCCTTAAGTTAGTATTAAGTGTTAATTTTCAAATTTTTGTTTGTATTAAAAAAAAACAAGTTTATTTTATTTTGAATGTTTTAATAAAAACCAAATTTATTGTTTAAATAAAATTACACCTAATTAATTACAAATTTAACGTAACTGCCAAATAGTTACGAAAACCAAATCCTACATCATTCCCTTCATACTCATCATCAACATTCTCATTTCTTTAAAAATTTGGTTGAATCTGATTGGCACCTTCTTCCAAGTCTTCTTGTACCCCCAGTGTTAAATTGTGTAGAACACAGCAAGCCCGAATGAAGTGACATATATTTGTTATGTTCCTTAATTTTAGGTGATATAACTGCCTAAATTTTTGTTTAAGGAGTCCAAATGTGTGTTCTATAATGACTCTGACATGACTTAATTTTTTATTAAAATTTTTCTGTCCTTCATTTAAGTTACCAGTATCTCGATAGGGTGTCATTAGGTTTCTTAAACATGGATAAGCACTATCACCTAAAATATAGTCATACCCACATTTCTCATCAAGTGTGTCCTTAAGGGTGGAATTTCGGAAGACTCTTGAATCATGGACCGACCCTGGAAATCCAATAAAAATGTCCCTTATGCATCTTTTTGAGTCACATACTGCCTGTACCTAGAATTGATAAAATACTTTATTGCTATATACACATATATATTTTTATGAACTTACATGGACTGAAAAATACTTCTTCCTATTTCTGTATGAGTCAGGATCCTGTGTAGGCTCATCAATTCTGATGTGGGTGCCATCAATACACCCCAAGACATTTGGAAATCCCATTTCAAGAAATTCCCTTTTTATTTCCTCCTTTTCTTCATCTGTTGGCCAAGTAATTATAGCAGGCGATTTGGAGTTTAAAAATAGGCTTACATCTTTAACAATTGTATGCAATGTGCTCACTGCAATGTTAAACCTATCACTTACGTCTCTAAAAGACGCTGCCTCATGTGACGCAAACCAACAAAAAACTAGAATATATTTTTGTGGAGGTAACCTTACAAAACCGGTATCCACTGGGGGGTATTAAGAACTGCTTTCAAATTCCTGGGCAAGTTGCTGAACAATTTGCCTCGGTACTTTAAAATGCTCCACAAATTCCTTGTCTGTATACAAGGGCACAGTATTTTCAAAATACAATTCATTTTTTGGGTGATGTTGTAGAACTTCAGGAATTAATAATTCGAGAAAGTGTTCAGTATCATTAGATGATGATGAAGATGAGCTTGAAGAACTAAACAAGAAATCCTAAAACCAATTTCAATTTTATTTACTTTAAACATAATTTAAAATATACATTACTTCTGTAATATCCATCTTTAAGTTCGACAAAGTAAAGTAGAATGCAGAACGTTTAATTTAAATACGAGAGATCTTAAAAAAACAAAACTATAAAGCACAAGTCCAAACACATTAATTTATCTATGGAATGAGGTTATAAGTCTTTCTTTATCATTTCTTGTTTTCCCGATGTCCCGATATGAATATGGTATGTGGTTTAAAAAAGAAGAAGTACCATAATACGCATGCGTGACAAAAAGTTCAGAAATTGTACCTGCTCATGAGAAAGAACTGTTTGTACGGTTACATAATTGTTTTGGAATAATCCGAAGACTGAACCAAAACACAGAATTCTACGTCATTTCCGATTCAGGATTAGTTCTAAAATAACCAAAACATTTTTATATGTATGCGCATGCGCGAACGGTTCTAGAACTAGAACCAAAACAAACCTAAAAATAATTCAATTCACGTTACCGATTCGACTAACATCTACTGCTTTTGCTCCGATATACACCGCTGAAAATTATCGCCGATACCGTAGTTAGGTACACCGAATTTGTTTACATTTTTTTTTGTCGACGGTTCTTGAGTTAAAACGTTCGAATACCGGTTTCATTTGAAATAATTATTCCGTTTTCGATTTTATTTAATAGAAATAATAATTGATTTCAGATTTTCGTTAAAAATATTTTGATTTACAGATAAATTATTTAGTTTTGATTTTATTTAGAAACATTGGAAATTAGTTTTGGTTATTAGGAAATAGAAACTTTGTTTCTATTTTATTAATTAATTAATTTTATTACGACCGTGAATTGTGTTTCTATTTTACAGTAATAGTAAACCTAATTTCAAATTAAATTCCGTATACAGTTGATTAGTTAATTTTCATTGCGACCGTGGATTTTGTTCCTAATTTTTTTTAAGTAATAATAAATTTAAATTTAAATTAAATTCCGTACATAGTTAATTACTTAACTTTTACTACGACCGTAAATTTTGTTTCTATTTATTCACAATCTGGTTTAACTTTTTTTTTTATTTATGTTTCTTTACTTGGGAATAGAATTAGTTCGAAAGTTGGAAAGTTGAAATAGTATCATTTTTCATGTCGAGTGGACTGGTTGTGGCGAGAAAGCTCACATGGGATTACATACTATCCCGGTTTTAGATTTTATTTAGATTAACCCCTATCCGTGATTAACATATTAGTGTTTTTCTTATGTTTGAGAGGGCTGGTTTTGGCGAGTACACTCATTATAGGATAAATACTGACCCGGTTTGATATTTTGTTTTGTGTTTGAGTGGGCTGGTTGTGGCGAGTACACTCATCATAGGATTAAATACTAACCCGGATTTTGATTATTTTCTTTTAGTTACCTCCGCGCCGTGATTAAAATGATAGTATCATTTTTATGTTGAGCGTGCTGGTTGTGGCGAGTGCACTCCTCATAGGATTGATACTATCCCGTTTTCTTATCATTTATCTATTCCCCATTCATTAAAACAAGGAGGTTTGTTTCAGTTTCAATACCGACTAGAGAGTTAACCAGATAACTTTTTCTACGACCGTGATTTTAATTTTTTTTTACGAAACAAAATATTTAACTTTAATCTTTATGCAGCTTTAAGAGTTAACTAATTAACTTTTGCTACGACCGCCATTATTTGTTTTTGATTTCGTTTTGGCTCAACCACCGATCCGACAAATTTATTAATTAGATACTATTGCCACCGAGCATCTTTCTTCTAATTTTAATTCTACCGTCTGATTGAGACTAATCATTACTGGCCGATCTGTTTGTTTTTATTTTGTTCAGGGTTTTAAAATTACGAGCGGGGGTGGGCGTTGAAATAATACTTACAAATTATTTATTGTAAATAGTTAAAAATTCAATATATGTGTCAACGTTACCTTGGCTATTACTGAGGTTACTGATCCCTAATTTACTTCCCCCTTTATTTTAGCAGTGAGAAATTCTTTATCACCACAAGTAGCGATTAAAGCCCGTTACTTGTGGTTACTTATTACCTGTGTCTGAGTGACCAACGACCCCTGGAATTTTTCATCTCCATCTGTGCTGCCCGAGTACTTTCGACGCCGTTTCGAAAGATTGTGGAGTAAACCACACATCAAATCTGGCGCCCGAGAGCCGTCCCGTCAACAGGCGTCATTTGTAAGTAATCGTTTTCTCTGAGGCGAGAAAACCCCTTACAAGGATGGTTACAGTTGAACTTGCAAGGTGGAAAAATCAACAATATATAAAATTATTGCCAAATATTGGAAAATAAATTGCTTGTGCGTTCTTTATTGAAAAAGATTATAAATATATATGCATTAATATTTTAAGTAGCCAATACCAAACTTTGTCAAACTGACATAGTTTTTGGAATAACTAGAAATTAAAAACATTTAATGGAGCCTCAAAATGAAGTAGTCAATGAGCAGAAAAATCTGGGAAATTATCCATTTCTTAACTACTGTTTCAATGCGAGTTTTCTTCTAGGAAATCCATTGAGTAATAGTTATGCACACAATGAAGTATAAATGTCATATCTACTTATTGGTACTCATTCATATAAGAAATAGTATTTTCATGTTATTGGCTTTAAATATTTAACATAAGTCGAGCAGACATATTATTGTAATTTAATTTTCACAAAACATTTGTTGATATTTTTATAGTTTACAGCTTACCTGTTCCTCTCTTGATTTTTCAAGGTCTTCTCAAAACAATATGATATGAATATAGGGTAATAAAATATTCGTAATTGTCGAATAATCTGCCTGTTTTTATATTTTCATTATGCAAAGGCATGCAAGTCGTTTTGTTAAGTATTTAATGATTTAAACTTGAAAATATAGATAATCTTTAACATCCTGTAACTCCGTAATTTTTCACTTCAAACGTTAAGCTTGTTGTAATCGACACAACCAAGGCATTTTAAATCGACTTGGGTCTGATACCGTGTTAAGAATCGCCCTGTATACTCGTAATGATAAAATATAAAGTTAAAGACTGTCTGCATGCCTGAAATTTTGCTTTTTTTATATCTACTATGATAATACATAATTTTTCCGAAGATTTTCACAAAAATTGATTACCCTGTATATTTTGTAACCTATGAGTTTTAGACGATTGATAGATTTTATTAGTAAATTCTAAATAGTGGTGAATATGCCAACAACCTTATAGGATATATAAACATGCTTACACTTGATTTATATACATATATTGATCTAGAAGGCTATGATTAAATATTTTCCGAATAATTGAACATATTGTTGACTTTTATAATAAATGACGTTTCTATTACTTTAAGCGAGCATTAGACCGTTCTGTATTAATGTTTTAAATAAATATTGTTGCAAATATGGCGTTTGCAAATAGGATTAGCTGTTATGTTTCGAATAGACACTTTCAACTTCGACTCACTATTCGTTTAGACGAGGACAATAATATAGATGTGCTTAACATTAATAATTTTAGAAGACAAGCTGCCGGACATCCTGCAGTCGAT